CCTGCATAACGAGTTGCAGGGCTGGTCCCGAGGGGGTGGGTACCGTGGTGGCCATCGGTACCGAAAAGCCTGATGAACCTGAGCACCGGTGTTTTGGGCGATCAGGTTTCTTGCTCTTGTAAGCGGGCTTATCCACCTTCTCCTTCCTCAACTTCTTATGGGTGGAAGGTTTATCCAGACCGGTATGCTTGCGCGTCTCCCGTTTCTTAGCTGGGGGAGAAGGCAGCGACTGAGCCTCCATAGAAGCGGCGCCTTCGTCTGAAGGACGCTGCGGAGGATCGGCAGAGGTCGAGGAAGGATGCTTCGCCAGAGCACTCACGGTGGAGGAAGAGCGCTGAGGAGGTGCGGACAAAGAGGAACCAGGCCGTAAGAGCAGTTGGTCAGACTGCATTAATGCCTGATCCCATAGGAGCTTCCTGAGACAATTCTCCCTGTGTTTCCGCGCCTGCTTGGTAAACGCCAAGCAATGACCGCATTTGTCAGTCCTATGCCCCTCGCTGAGGCAGAGGAGGCATAGATCATGTGGATCGGCCGGCGACATTTTAGATCCACATTCAATACATTTGCGGAATGCCGCCCGCTGCGCCATAGCACAAAAATGAAGAAAAGAGGACAGTATAGAGGGTAAGATAATATTTTTGGTTTTTTTTTTTTTTAATATATATAGAGAAGAGAATTTAAGAAGAAACAGACAGAATCGGGAAGAAGAACAAACTTGGAGCAAGAGGAGTTTAAGGTTTTTGAGAAAAAACAATGAAGAGGCACAGATCTATAGCGAGAGATGAACAGGCATGAGGCACAGCAAACGGCGGTCACAAAGACTGAGTAAAATGGTGGACACTCTGCTCTATTTATACCATGAAGGGGGAGGGGAGCGGAGTTTTCCCACCAAAAACTGTTAGCTTTCTAATCTTCCGGCCTAGGCACTGCACAGGCACAGCAACCCGTATGTGTGATGCACAGAGGCCACGACGAAGAACTGCATAGAGTTGTGTCACAGATCCCCTAACCTCAAAGCAAGAGCTAAGGATGTTTCAGCTACATCCTCTGACTGTCTTCACAGACCATTTTGTTTTCAGAAACTGCATTTCACCCACCTCTATACACTAGAAATAACAACTCTGTTAATGTTTACAGGATGACTTATCCAGAAATGAAAATAAGATGACTCAAGAGCCCTTGATTTTATCAGGGATTTTTTCCTCAAGTGAGTAAACAAACAAAGGGGTGGCTGTCATCCTAGCACAAGCTAAACAATCAGCTATCTTAACATTTTTGCCCAATAAAGGCTACTGTTAACATTGCCTTGCTCCTACAGTGAAAACATCAGTGCAGGAAAGTGTACAGCATGACCGTTGGTGGCCATTGATGTGCATGTTTCACTTCACATGGATATGTGCTGAAAGTTGTACTTGGTCACCACTCTCCGTCACAGGAATGTAATATACACATGCCTCACCTTCCCTGTCCCTGGGTCCTGCTCCTTGCTGTGCATCCCGCGTGCCTTGCTGTTGTGCCTGCCTCTGGTCCGACCTCTGTCCTGCTTGGCTGCTTGTACACTGCCATGCTGTGTATCTTGCCATGTATCCCACTTTGTCGTGTTTCCTCAGCAATGCAGGCCTGTCTGTTTGCTGCGGTTCAGCTCCTGCTTCTTGCCCGGCACTTGCAGCACTTGATTCCTGTTGTTTCCTGTATCTCACCATGTCTCCTGCCCAGTTATCCTGCCTCAAGTGTTTGCATCCTGCCTGATGCTTGCTTGTATCTTGCCTTGCCCTGTTGCCTCAGAGCTGTGATTCAGCGCTCGCATTTTGCCTGACCCTTGCTGTGCCCAGGATCCTGCCTCAAGGTACCTGCATCCCTGTTTGTCTTCCTGGTTCTGTACCTTTGGTTTGTTCATGACCTTGACCTTGCGGTGTAAATAGTGGAATCAGCTTTAAGCAATAGAATTCATACAAATAAAGAATGTAGGCCATGTAGTAGATTCATCATTAGAACCTGTTATTCACTTCTAGCAATTTAAAAAAGCAATGCTGCCAAAAAAAAAAAAAAAAAAAAAAAAAATTAGAGAAAGGCAGAACTTTCTTCAAGGTAGTCCCGATTTACCTGAAAGGTGTATTATAATATTTTGACTCAGTTTTGTCTGAATTATAATATAGACAAATTATTATATAGTTGTATATACAGTTTTATAACATACAATTTTGAGGGAGTTTGTAACTTCCCATGTCAACAACCTCCTAAATGTCAACAGTTCATGTTTTGCCACGAGTACATTCCCACCCGTTTGTCCTGCTCTCAACATCTCAGATTAATGCTGAGATAAATTATACTGGGTGATATAGTATTAAGTGTACTATCGTTTTATTCAGTCACTGAAGGGAATGAATTTTCTTTCCACTTTAATTAAATTGCTGTCAACAATATATAACAATTTCTAAAATTGGCCAGGAGAGGATACTTATAAAAAGGAGCTGAAACTGTTTTAAGATAGTTATGTATGTACTTTTATTAAATGTGGTTACCTAATAATCATACCTGTAGCCAATTGACTTGCTTTCAAAGAAGTTTTGCTCATCAGGGGTGGTCTCAAGGGTTCCCTCCAATTATTTGCTCATAGCAGTGTCATGGTTAGAATGTTGGAATTGGACTGGAGAAACCAAGATACAGCTACTTAGTCAGGAGGCCATTGAATGACTTTTGGCCAATTGCTAAGTCTTACCCCAACCTACCTCCAAGTATTGTGGTGAGGATTAAATGAAGGCATGTGGGACAGAATGAAGGGAACACCATGTACTCCACTTCAATCTTCTTGGTGGAAAAGGAGGGATTATAAATGTAAGAAATGGATAGATAGGTAACTAATGTAACTAAAATAAGATAAATAAAATGAAAATACAGTATTTGGATTTGACCGTTGGGCCAAGCCCAAAATACTTTTAGCAATAATAAAGCCATGTACCATTTAAAATCTTGAACTGGAACCAGCGACTTGTGATTTGGGCATAAATCACCTGAAAACATCCTTCTCGAATATGATTAAACATGATACAACTGTGCAGATTGTCATCTTGATCAGAATCCTTTTTATGCATGTCCCAGTTTCTTTAAAATGCCAGCATGGGTTCCTTCCAGGATACCTTTTCCTACCCTGTGGTCCTCCAAATGTTTTGGACCACAGCTTCTAACATTCCTGACAACTGGCCTTATCAACTGATTGGAGAGGGATGCTATTTATTGAAAATAAAAATAAATCAAACCAATTTCATTTTACTTTCAAGTAAAGGTTTTTTGTTCCTGTTCTATGCAAACTGGTTTCAGTCCACAATTCTTCTGGCTCATGGTCATTAAGTTGAGTAATACAACATATTCTTTATGTGGATTTATTGGAATGTTATTGAAGCTGTATTCAGTACTATGTTTGTTAGCAGTCATTTGCAGCTTTACTCTGATTTTTGATATTAAGAGTTCATTATAACTATGGCAATCTGCTCCTGGTCATGCTTTGACTGTGAGAATACAGCTTCCAATTACATAGTCTATTTGATTTCTATATTGGTCATCTGGTGATGTCCATGGGTACAGTTCCTTGAAGTATGTTTTTGTGATGAAGAGATTGTTGGCTTCTTCTCGCAAACCTGCATAGATATTTTCAATTTCTACTTCTTCAGCATCCCTGGAGACTTGAATTATGATTATGTTGATAGGTTTTCCACTAACTCTGATTAAGATGATCCAGTCACATCTTGCATTGTAGCATCTTATTGCCTATGCTACATCTTGCCTCAGTATTAGAGCTTTTGAGTTTGCCATTTCTGGAGTAAAACCATTTGCGTTTTTGTGGAATGTCCCATTCCAGTCCGATTTGGTTTGCTCGCACCAAGCTGTCCCATTTATTGCTTTCCAATTTCCAGTTTGTAAACTTGGTTCACGCTTCAGATGTTCCATGTTCCAATTGTATACGTTCAGCATTCAACTTTCCTTTCACCTCTGTGCATGCCAGTTACTAGATTTCCTTTCAGCTTTGATCTAATTGTGTCATTAGCAACAGCAGTATTCATACCTTCTTTTGCTGTTCCCCATAGCTTGATGATTGCCTTTTAATCTAAGGATCTTGACTTCTGACACAATTTTTCTTTCATTTTGAATTCTTTTATCATAAGGTTTGCAACCCTAAGATGATGCAGAAATGATTTACCATTGCCGCCTTCTATGCAGAAGAGTTAGCTTGCTGAGTTAGTTTGGCTATCACTGCAGTAGTCTGCAAAAGATTCTTAATCAGTTATCTCCTGCTGCCCAGTAGTTGCTCTTCAGAAGTTTCTTTGCCCCTCTCACCATTAAAGAGATCCATGCTCTTCTGCTGATGTGATTGTTACTCCTGAAGAGGGCGGATGCATCTTAGTCTTTTGCATCAGCTTCCTTGATGGACCCTTCTAGAAGATCAGCCTACTTAGACAGTCTGGCCCCATGGTAGCATTTTTCTCAGTTTCCCAGACACTGTCAAACTCCTTCACCATTTTAAGGTGTGTATCCAAGGGAGTAGGGGAATCCCTCCAGCTCCCAGGAACTCCTAAGCAAGTGCTTCAGTCTGTAGCTCTGGTGTCTGTCTACACAACGTAAGCTGTATGCAGAGGAATGGTTTTCCAGTCCTTTCCCAGCAGTTTCTCACACATTATATATGGAGGGAGAGAGATAGAGAGAATTCCTAAAATTCCTATATTTAGCTTCATGTTTCTTCTGGTTTTGTATGGACAATCTCTAATTTTGGCATTACTGCATTTGTAGTTTGCCCGTATTTGTTTACACACCTTTGTCTTAAAGTAATCCATGTGAAAGCAGTTACATGTTTGAAGACAGCATAGTACTTTTTAAAAGAATGCCATGGTCTATACTACTGCATATCTACAACAAAAAAAGGACGGGAACAGATGGAATAGAGAGTAAGATTTGAATTCCCAACTGCAACATTAGTTAGTAACTTTTTAAAAAATCAGGAGCTATAATTGAATTAGGGCACAGATTTATTAAGGGAAGATCACAGAAATTAATCTGACCCTCTACAATGGGAATTTGAGAACTGATTATTTTCTTCCCTTTGGCAAAAGCTGTAGCAGAACCACTTTTGCTGTCAATAGTTTACAGATTTTAGAAAAATAATTTCCTGCCAAAGCAGTAAAGTCTCAGATGCTCCCATGGATATTTTAAAAACCACATCTTCCTATTTATAGACATTTATGTAGCAAGATTTAAAGGAACAGTACAAAGAAGCAAACCAGAAATATAAATGTTATCTGCATTCATGTGTGCAAATGTATTATCAAAAGGAAACTGACAAAATATTTCAAATATTCAAGTACGTGATTTCAAGAAAGAGTAAAACAAGAACAGAAAACTGCAGCAAGAGTGAACTGTAGAGCTATGCAGTGATCTTTACAAGGTTTAAACATCTTTACATAATAAATAATCCTTAAATAATGTTGGATTTTTTGCAGCCATTCCTAAAATCAGGAAACTACGAGGAGAAAATATGTAAAAGAGAATGATGTAAGCACCTCTGTGATAAAGTTATGTATACCAGTTGTTAAGGAGTCTTCTCATACATGTCCCACATAAAAAGATGGTGCTACCAGAGCACACAAGAGAGGAAAGTATAAGCACTTGATTCTGACTGACAGTCTCCTATATCTGATTGACAGCTTCCACATGTGCATGGAACTCCTACAACCTTGGACTTTCCTATTTATCAGTGGTGGGTGGGAATGACATGCAGAGCTTCCCCCTTTAGTGAAGTTAATTGGGAAGCCCACTGTCCCCAAAAATAAGAGCAATTGTGGATAACATTGAAGATGCGTGGAGACTTTTTTGGAAAAAGTTTTACCTGTACAGTTTACTACTGAGTGGCCATAGTTTTATAGGATGAACTAGATTTTGAGTGACATCCTGGTTGGATTCAAACAATCATGAGGAAGCAAAGCCACCGTGGCCTTTTTTCCCTGCACCTGTGCATGTAGGGTGCAAACCATCTGATTTGCCTAATTATCCTTGTAGTGCATGGCTTGCTGTGCTGTTGAACTTGGTAAGATGTGTGAGACATGACTTTGAAATCATTCCCAAACCCATGACTTGATGTAGGGTTCTGAGATGGTTTTAAAAGCCTCGCTTTGCCAGGATCAGATGGTATAGCAAGCTGTGTGCCATGAAGGTAATTAGGCAATGATGAGCCACTCACCCAGCACACACAATTCTTAGGATTGTCCAAACCTGGCCATATGACTAGCTCAAAGTCCTGAAAATTTATTGGAGGCTAGCTCAGGGCAAAACTGTGGTGCAGCTAGGAGGATTCTGAGGGTGGTCTTTGACATGAGTGGTGCTACAGATGCTCTGTCATTAGCCAATCTTGATGTTACTGAAACAGGGAGTTTCCAGGACTGGCTGTGCAGCAAGCTGCTCAGCTAGCCCAGAACTGAGCTGAAGGGCACGAAAGAGGGCTCACCTTCCTTCCCATGGTACGTTAGTTCAGTGGAGGATGTGCAGTGACTTGTGTAATTGCATCTGCTGTAGAAAAGGAGGGGGAAGATTTTAGGATTGGCTGCTGGGATAGTGGAGCGGGGAACTAAGTACATTCCTTCCTCTTAGACTCCGAGTTATGTTTTTCTTGTTGAAGTATGCGCTTGTATGTGGAAAGAAACTGACCCATTTTCTCTTTGCTTTCATCATTGTCAGGGCTCTTAAATGTTACATGTTCTGCTCCTACAGGAGTGGATTGCACAGGTATAGCCCTCTTTGGAAGGGGTGTGGTTGTGATGTTTTAAAACTACCATTCTGCACTGCCAGAGTCCATTGTGTGTGTATTTGGCCTGTCACACCAGGGCCAGTAATTTTGTTCTTAGAGGCAATGACAATGGCATATGCATCCTGTCTAGCGTAAGGCTAAATTGCTTTATTGGCCACAGTCTTAATTTCTTTATATGCTGAATAACATCAATATATATTGTTCCCTTAGGTATTCTTCTGATTAGCTAATTATTTATTTTTATTAGATAGGAAACTTAGTTCAGGATCCCAGAATGATACTTTCAATTACCATTTTTATGAATTGCTGCTATATAGATTACGTAACAGGATATAACTCTGAACAGCATCAAACACTTCAAAAGCATATAATACAATTTCATTTTATTTAAAACATACTTTGCACGATATAAAAATATTGATCACAGTGAGATTTAACAATTGTTACTGCTATAAACAAGAATGCAGTACAATATTTTTAATGGAAATAAATTATATAGTTATTATCTTTTTTAAAAAAATCACAAGGAAGAACACCTAGGCTGTTTGGTCATTGGCAAATCAAGTCCTCAGTGAGTTCTTTATAATGAAAAATATCCCAGTTTTCTCTAGTTTTGCTTTCCATGTGTCTCAGAGCACAAGTAAGTCTGCTTCTGGTAATCCTATAATTAGGATTTTGGATCTTCTGCACAGTAAATCCAAAATATTAGCAGTCTTAAAATAATAAACAGGAAAAATGTACACCAAATTGTCAGATGGTATCTTCTCTAATTGATAAGTGGTCTTTTCCAATATGTGGGTACACAACGACACACCTCTTCACTGTAATAATATCCAGGATCACAGCGTTTCGTTCGAACTGTACATGGTGGTCTGTAGCAACTGAGAGAAGATGGACAAAACAAGTGTTGAAAAATTTCAAAACTTACATGAGAAATTATTCTGACAATTCTAAGACAGCAGTGTGCTCTTAAAAAGCTGAAGGATACTGGAAATTACTGGTGCATCTCTGGTGATTTACAATAGATTGGCCAGAATTTCATGCTTCCCATCGCTTAACCATAGTAGCAAAAAAGAAAAGGTGCTTCCACCCTGGCTTAGTCTGCTGAAATGAAGAATGCTTGGGGGAAAATAGAAGCAGGGTTTGGGGTCAAAGAGCAGTGAGCTCATTTCTGATACAGAAAAATTTCTCAGCTGAGCTTCTGTTTGAAGATACCTTGTTCCTTAATTCTAATTGCAAATAAGGGCTCTAGGCCAGTACTTTTTAAATTGTATTTTAGGATTCTAGCAATAAACCCTAAAACATATCCTGTATGCCTGAAATCTGTCCAGACATGCCCTAAGAGAACTGGACATTATGTGCATAGTTGCAACTTCTCTCTTCCTGCCACAGCCCCCTTCTCTTTTACAGACCTATTTCTGCTGCGGCAATGTTTATTTTTGTTGGCGAGTGTGAGTTTGGGTTTTGGTACTTGGTGTTATGCAAGAGTCTGTTTACCTTAGCATACAACCCCCTGTTATTTTAGTAGTTAAAACCACCTTTTTGAAATAATGAATGAAAGCAGAAGTGAAAGTGAAGCAACTTTGGAAGTGTGAGCAATAGTATGTGCTTTACTTGCAAGTACCAGGCCATCAGGCATCTCTTTGCAGATAACAGTACGCGTGGATCTTCATTTTTGTTATGGATGTTTGGAAAGACAGATACAAGATGTCACATTGTGCTATGTTCACATGCAGAGGAAGTATATCACTGAATGGCAATCACTGGGATCGGTGGTGAGAGAGGGAATTCTATTCTGTTCATGCCCTGCTTGTGTGTTTTCTGGAACAATTTGGTTTGGCCACTGTGAGAATGAGGGTGCTGGATTAGAAAGACCATTGACCTGATTCAGCAGTGCTTTCCATTCCCCACAGCAGGTTTCTACTTTTATGACAAATGAAGATGGATGCTGTGGGCAAGCAGTATGCGACTGCTTCAATAAATTGTGCAGAAAAGTAATTACTTTCCTATGCACATGTGTGCACACACACACAGAGTTAGATCCAGATTTACTTGTGCTCATCCAATTAAAAAATTGGGACACATTTCTTGTGGGCTAACAAGACCCATAAATTTCAGTGGGATAATTCTAAGCATGAATAAGTCAGGATCCAACCATAATAATGTGTAACTATAATTTGAACAACTGACTCTAAGCAAGTTCAAATTCAGGTCAATGACTCCAACTAATTGCAAACACTTACGAAATTATTGCATCTATATCCTTTCTTTCCTCAAGATGTTCAAGGTGCTATGCATCTCCCTGAGCCTTGTTTTGTCTTCTTTTGTTATTTTGTATGGTAGTTACTGGCCAAAGATCATCCAATGAGTTTTATGATTGACAGCAAAATTGCATGTTACCTTAGCTTCACAATGTACTCATAAGTACATGTGCCCCCCCTTCCCGCCACAAATTACTTGCACCTCAACCCACCACTCCAAACAGGAATCCTTTGTCCTATGCTTATCTTAATCCAGATAAGGCTCTCTGAACCTGCAATTTATACTTCCCAAAGAGTTTGCACCGAAATGAACAGAACCTTTTTGGCAATGCCAATAGATGTGGTGGCTAATCAAGACCGGGACCTTAAGCCATGGCAAATGCCTTAAACAAAGGTTCTGATGTGGACTGGACCCACACCCCACACTGGCAATTTGTGGTTGAAACTGCCCTACACTCAAGGCCAGAACTATGCAGCTATGGTAATATATAGTTTATCTCCGAGTATACAGTTTAACAGGGGCTCATCAGTTCTAGGCAAACAACCTATCCATTCTACCACAATGGCTCTTTCAGAATCAAAATAAATGGGCACTTTCCATAGTTAAGTATTATTAATAAAGTGACTGTGTTTTAAATTGTACAGATCTACGTAAATCTGTTTGAGGTGTTTAATGAATAAGTTTAAATAGATTCATAAACTATACAATGAACAAAAATCCAAAGTATGAGAAACCTATGTAGATATCTAATAATGTAATTTTTCTACTGTTACTATATACTATTCTGAGGATGCAATCCAATACTCTCCACCTTAGAGGCATGTAAGCCGCTCAACTTGGAGGCTTAAACGTGTCCAATGCAATATTTGGCTCCTCATCCCATGCATTTTCTTTATATGGCCATTTTTCTCCAGCTGGCTTAGTATGGCGGCAGGGAGGCTGAGGTGCAAACAGGGTTTAGCACAGTGTTGCCCCCAGCCTGCCTCACCTCCCAACATGTTCCTTTTCTGTCCTCTCTGAGGCCTGGTTGCAACCTTGGGAAGGCAGCTGGCCCGTTTTGCTTCTGTGCTGGCTGTGAGAGAGGCATGGCAGGGACTTGGCTTTTGTTGTTCCAGCCCCCAAAACACAGGACCTTGGAGCTGGAGCTCTGCATGATCCTATGACTCTCCCAGACAATGCTAGGAAGCCAACCAATTATATAGCCACAGTGAGCCATTCTACAAATCAGAATTACTCTCATTTGTAAAACATTTGCCAACAATTTCTCTTGGAAACAGTCTAATTTTGAAACATGGCCGTGAGCCTGTACAGAGAACACACTTTTGCCCATACACAGTTCGTATTACATCAGTGGGAGCAATATGCATGTTTGAGCTTACATATATGACAGCTTGAAAAGGCGATGAAAAGAAAGTAATAATTTATAGTCCTTCAGTCGAGAAAGTAATCAAATATTTTACTAGCAAACACTTCATGCTTACAAGATAAATATTTTGCATCAGTAGATAGTTTGTTTCTACAAGGATTGCAGCACAAAAGCTATAAACAAGTATGTCATAGCATGATAATTTCTTACGGTTGTTTTTAAAACAGGTTGACCTAACATAACCTCATACTGACAATGCCAAATAGCCTCTGGTGTATAATGTAGACAAAGTATTAGTCTTTGGCTTTTCAAATGCTGGCGGTGAGTCAAAAGCAAAAAGTGTATGTTTCAAGTTTCAAAACAGCTATATTTTTAATTAGTTGTTAAATTTGTCTCACTGTTTTTATTAAACATAGTATAGCAATGCTCTATTGACATTCCTCCTGATTAATAGTGCACTTACATATTCCAGGTTAGAAATAAGTTATTAAAAGTACAGGCCTTCAAAAGCACATTTGTGGAGGGGAATGGGAGAAGAATACTAAGACAAGAAGACAGTTGCTCACCATACCCATTCCTTTTTCTGGTCCAATCTGATTTAAAACTCAAAAGCCAGATCTCCTAAATTTCATTGGGACACCTGGCTCTGGGGACAGCCATCACAGCCTGCTTCTTTAACTAGAAATGTCTTGCTCTGGCTGCAGCAGGCCTTGTATTGAGGTGAAAACAGGCTTGAAGAAAGTATATGTGCTCTTTAGAACACATGGTTTCCAAGGCAAAATCCTCTGCCTGAGGTTTTTTCTTTGTTTCTTTATTGCAGGGGCATTTATGGTCTCTTTTAAAAAACTCTTTTTTGGGAGGCAACATGAAGGCAGTGTGCATCTTACAGATCTTGCTCCCTGCAAATTATGTTTGTAGTTGTGGCTTAAAAGCTCACATAAAGCAAACAAAACAAATGATCGATTTTCTCTGATATGTAGGAAATCCTTTCTGGTACATCTCTGCCCACCCTCCCTTTTCCCTTCTAATGAGTCTGCTTGTGGGGCACCTATTTCACTTACACAATAATAGAATCATTTTTAGCTTTTTCCCCTGGAGCAATTCTTTTTTGGTTATTGATCTCTATTTTAATAGCACAGGATACTGTTCTTAGAAGTTATTTAGTATGTCACAAATGCCAGGGTGTTGCTTTGAGTACCATTTTTCTTGATAGAAAGTTAGAGGAGAGATGAATATATACTGCATGTATGTATGTGTGTGTGTGTATATACACACACATCCACACATACACAACTATATATGTTCTGTGTGCAGACAGATCATCACATATTATGCTCACATATAAATATAAAGCATTGTAACATATGGTGAAATCTTATTGTTATAGGTCTGTTGTAATGTCCAAACCCAGTTCTGGAGTTCCTGCATGGTAGGGTTTGTCTTCTGAAACCACAGAGAGAATCAACAGTCTGTTCTAAAGTTCCCACACTTCACTATGGCTTCTCCAGTCATCCAGACCCAGGACTGCCAGTTTACCATTGTTGGTATGGAAACCTCATAGGGTCCTCTAGCAAGAGCAGAGATGTCATTGCTCACCTAGTCCCACTGGTCAAGCTAGATGTCCTTCTCCCTTACATTTGGAAGACGTAATGAAAATACATGGAGGGAAAAGATGAAGGGAATCACAGTGACACTGTTCATTTTGACTCAATAAAAATCTCTGGGGTCTGGCATAGGTGTGAAGCACTGCAGACTCGCAGGTGCACTTGCGGGGAAGTTGGGAGAGGGGACCTGCCACAGGACCACAGAGGATCAATTAGAAGGCTGCTGTGTTCCATAGTCAAGAATATGGAAAAGGTGGGGATTTGGCTTATGGGACTGCCGAGATACGTGGTGAGGCCATGAGGATGGAGCAGGGAATGCAGAAACCATGATGCCATCCATGTGATCATCTGAGCACTGAGCCTGGGCAAAAATCCATGCACTGCAGAAACACTGCAGGGTTATTTGCTGTTTCGTGCAAGCCCAGTTTATGTTTACATGCAGCAAGTAATCTATGTGTAGAATTGTTAAACATGAAAATCACAATGTATTGCCCTTCCACCCCATCTTTGAGCAAGGCAGGGTGGTTTAAAAAGCAAAAAACAAAAACCTTTTTGAGAAAAACCATGGAATACCCAGTGAAAACCTAACAATGAACCACAGCCATGAATGGGGAAAGGATACAAAGATGAATCCATGAAGGCAGTATTTTTCTTACTTGTGGCTTGTGACAACAAATTATAGCTTATGCTGACAGAAGTCAGGATGTTTACTCCTAGAAACAGGCAAAACTGGGAGAACCTATTGCATGTTATTCTAACCTCCAAGCAAAAGCAGTGGAAGAAGCAAGAGTAACTGTAGTACTAACAGCACTCTTCTTGATAAATTAGGGGACTTACCAGGGTAAATGTCTACAGGAAGAATTAGTAAGAAAGCATTTAAGAACATTTCATGTGGATGCCTCTCTGCTAGGAAAATATCAGGAGGAACTGAGTTGAGCTGTCAGTCTTAAAAAAAAGCATTACTGTAGTCATCCCTCAGGAATATCTGTCACTATCTTATCACATAAAACTAAGTGAACCCAGTAGCTACTTTCATTGGGATTAATCAGGAAGATGTGCCATACTTGTTTGTACACAGAACTACATCTTATTGTGTTCCTCATGGGATGATCCCATTCAGTAAATTTGTTTGGAATTTTATATTTATTTGCTAGATTTATATCCTGCCTTTTCTCCAAGGAGCCAAGGCAGCATGCAAGAGCTTCTTCTCAACAACCTAATGAAGTAGGTTAGACTAAGAATCAGTGACAGGCAGAATGGGAGTAGAAGATTCCAGGTCCCCACAGCGCTAGTCCAACCTTCTAACTACTACACCATATTGGGAAGTTCCTGCCTTGTTCTTGTGTCTATATGAAAATAGTCACAATGGAAATAGCTACACATCCTGCAAAGAGGAATGATGGACAGTGTTTACGCAATGTTCATTTGAAACAACTCTGTGGGACCTGATGAACTGATCGTATTTAAAGCATCAGTTGCTCCCTTATTGTGGCTCATTTCTCAGCACAAACAATACAGGAGTAAGGAGCAACAATGTCCTAATAAGGGCTTTAGTCAATAGAAGTAACTTAGCTAAAATCAGCAATATGAAATTAGATTTAAAATTTAGTAGATTATTTGGGTTTTTAAGTGTGGCTAATCATGGTACAGACGAATCCATGTTTAATATGACCAGAAAATAGATTTGGAGCTGGATATTGTATTCTGCAAAAAAAAAAAAAAAAAAGGACATTCTGTGTTTATAACAAGATTATATTACAACTATTTTTGACAAATCAACACAGCTATGAGGAAATCAGTAAAGAATGGGGAAGACACAGAAGCTATAATCATCATGGGCTGACTTGCCACATCTTGTGCAAATTTTTCTGTATAACCTGTCACACTGGATTGACTTATTTGGATAATATACACAAATCAGAATCTCAAGTTGCCTCATGCCTGTTAAAAATTGAAAACATAACCATTTAGCATAGACATAATCCTGGTATATATTAAAAATTATGCTAAGAGGAAAAATAATCCATGATGAGTTAATTGCTCGGCTTTGGGTTCATCCTGTATTTTATTCCTATTAAATTTATCCACAGGAACTATTTAATGGTGGGGGTTTATGGAGGGGAAAAAACTGGCATTTTTGAAATAGGACGGCTATATTTTCCTCCTAGCGCCAGATAAACTAGTTAATAATACCTTTATTATTAATAACAATAGTGTGCACTTTTCCACGTACACTATCATTTTCAATTGAACTTATTCACACATGCATACCTGATGTCACTTGTATGTGTGAATGATGAATCAAACTCCCTCACTTCACATTGCTTGTAACTTTGCATTTCAGCAGTAAACAGGCAAATCAGCTTGCCAGTTTACCACAGATGAGTACATTTTTTTTCTGATGGAACTCCACATCCTTCTCTGTAGCCTGGAGGATCTTCCTGGCCTTGTGTTAAGTCCTGAAGAACCTCAGCAGTATGGCATCTCATTACTTTCAATGCAATAGGCACAAACCCATGAGAGTACTCGTAGGTGCTGGGTGTTAGGGTATTTTTATCTGTGATGTTACAGACAAGACTCCATTCTGCATTCACAATACCTATTCACAATATTAGCTAGAAAGAGAGTGACAGGCTCACTTTTGTTGTCGGTGTTGTTGTTCCCTTTTTTGTTACAATTCAGTGTCAATGTTGTTGTTCCCTTTTTTGTTACAATTGCAAATAAAATTTAAAAGACTTCACTGTCCGATGGTGGCAAGTACCAGGACTAGTCAAAATGTGTGGATTCCTGGTTATGAGTCACCAGGTATGGAAAAATCACAAACTGAAAATCCTGTGCTTTGCTTTCTTACCTGCCTTTCCAGTTATGCTGCTCCAGACTACTTCTGACATCACTGGCCCTTCCCTGCCTCTAGTCCTTTTAATCCTAATGGGCTTAAGGGATCTTAGTTGCTTATCCTGGCCAGAGGGAAGACCTTTGGGAGAGAATCATGCAAGAGCCTCTAAGATGTTGTCCCTTTGTGCCCAGGACAACATTATGAAAGGCAGTCATGTGGCTTTTCATTTAGCTTTAGAGACAGTAGTTCTCTATAATGCAAAGTAAACTAGCCGTTATGATAGCCTGTGGGAATCAGGTTTGTGATTAGTGGAGCAATACTTGCATTTGTTCCCTTCTATCCTAACAGGCAAATGGCTTGATAGTGAACATCAAACTAGTTATCAAGGCCAAAAGAGACATTACTTTGAGTCTGTATTTAGCAGCTACATCTTCCTACTTTTTATGTAGAGTGTGTTCAGGGCCCCAATCCACTCCCTGAGTTTGCACATGGTTTTTAAGAGCAAAGCAGGCTGTGCTATAAACTCAACATAGACATTGGCGGTTGAAAAAGATCTTGGATCAAATTATGTGTGACATGCCTTTGGACTTAATTTTCTTTTGGTTTTATGAAATTTTATCTACTTGATGTTTGTAGTCTATTTCACACAACAGATCCTTGCATAAAGGAGGACTTCCAGCATGCTAATTAAAAATCCTTGAATTTATTGCATCACAATTGTATGTATTTTAGAAAACAAATTTTTGTTTGTTTAACTGTTGATTTAGGCAAGCTCTCTCTGGTTTGCTACAACCCTATGTACCTAATACTGGCTTATGTAAATCAACTGCTTTATTAGACTATAGAATCAAGACCACAAAATGGATAATTGAAATGCTATGCTAAAAGATGTGTGTCAAACACTCCCATCAATTACATTTAAGAATTGGTATAATATTCCCAAATATGGATTACTCAGGCAATCAAAGCAAACATGCCCTGTAAATAGAACAAACACCATTTTCTGGTTAGGCCATTATGTATGACAACTGAGATGTTTTACTTGCAGTTAGTAAAACACTTTGCACACAGTTTCAACATGATAAGCATCAGACTTACCTGTCAGGAATCAAGTATTAGCATGATTAGCAAACTTAAGAAATGTGAGAAACTATAACCAGTGCCCTTTAGCAGCACAAAAGAGAAGCTGCAGGACCATGAAGAAATTTCTGTTCTTTGCTTACCTGCATGTCTGGTAGTGAAATCTTTTTCCTTTCAAGAAACATTTGTTTGGTGATTCTACACATTCACAAATGCACTTTGCAGGATTTAGTGGCTGATGTTTAGGACATGTTCTTTTACATACACATTGGCACTTTTCTTCATCAAAATTCTTGTTGGGTCCACATGAACTAGGCAGCAGTTTATTTTTACATGTACATTGGCATGATGTTCTGTCTAATTCTTTGTGGAGTCCACAGCTGGAAGGCCTTACTCCCCCTTTGCAGACACACTGACAGGTTTCTTCATCAAGCTCCTTATTAGGTCCACAGATGTCATGGTATCCTTCAGTTGTGTCTATAAGCATAGCAAGAATTGAAAAAAAATAATTCTGCTCTAGCATTGCAAAAAGAAGTGGAAGAAATGGTTGCTAATTTCATATTTTACTCATAAGCTAGTGAACTATATCCTACATCAATGCTTGAATCAATGAATTTGTGATCTTACAATGTGGGGTGAAGAAACAATTAACTGTGCCATATTCCTTAAACCAGGGTTAAAGAGCTCTTAATTATGGGAAGTTTATGCTGATTCCTTTTATTTTGCATTAAAGAAAAGCAAAAGCATGTTGTCCTCTAAACTTGCTTACCAATATCCCCAGGATAAGAAGAGAAACTGAAGTCGTGGTGTGCGAGACATCTGCAAATGTGATTATTCCAAATATGATTTCTTGGACAAGTTTTGTTTGCCACATGACACCTATTGGGGAAAAGATGTTTTATTACAATGCATGAAGACAATTGCTTCTGTACAGTATATATATCACAGATCCATAGTAGACCAATGCAACCTTAGAGGTCTTTGCCCTAGTCCTATTTTATTCATTCTGTTCAGTGCCAAGCATAGGTATGATTGGGCACCAGCCAAAGACTCCATCTATACTGACTGACAAAAGCCCCTGGAACTTGTTCCTCCTTTTCACCATTTCAACTTCCCTGTTCACCTGCCTTTCATCTTGTCCCAGACAACAGTGATGGTGGGGAGCAGCAGCAGGAAATGGAGCTGCTTAAGTGCTGTCTAGTTGTCTCCTTGTCAAGCAAGCAAGTGGTAGCAGCAATGACAAAGAGAATGAGGAACAATAACAAGTGATGACAGTGATGGTAAGAAGATAAATTCACTGAGTGGAGGAGCTCTTTAAGGGTACCTTGCCCAAGGGCCCTCAAAAACCTGGAGGAAGCACTAATTCTGGTACAGATTACTTTGCAAATCTGGACAATGCTGCTATAAAGCTTACTAGGCTATGGGATCTAATTTAATATAAGCCAGAATACATAACACTGCACAGGTGGAACTTTAGTTCATTAGACAATGAAAACACGATACTTTGCTTTACTAAAGGGTTCCAACTGAAAAAATAGATTTATAACAACCACTTAGAAAAGGCTAAAATTATGGTTCTGTATCCCACCCTTAAACAGACTGTCAGAGTAATGAAGTTGAGCTCTTGTGTCGAGCTTTCAAATCCAGAGAAACATGTGCAGAGCAGTACATTATATTGCTGCATAGGGTGCCAGACTGAGTTATGGTTGTATGTTCCACTGTTCATAATGTAAATCTAAATTTCCTTTATCAAAACCACTAAGCAGTTAAAAACAACTAAGCCTGAAATCCTATACACACCTGGGAGTAAATCCCACCAATGGGTATTATTTTAATAAGACATGTATAGAATTGTACTGTAAAATATCTATGTTGAGGAAGAACGGGAAAGACATTAAAAGCTGGACAAGCCAGACAAACAGAATTCAAGTCTTCATACACTACAGAACTACACAAAATATTTTCACACTTTAGAAACTAGATTGATTAGTGCAAAAGAGCTGAAAACCCTTTGCCATCCATGTACACTCACCTAGGTGTAAGCCCGACTGAATTCTGTGGGACTTTCTTTGGAGCAAACATGAAGAAGACGGACAGTAAACGTTTCAAAATGAAATATTAATTTCTGGTTGGAACCCAGGATGATTAATGCTAGAATTTCAAGCTTCCTCTAGTGAATTAATGGATATCTAAAATTGTATGGCCAACTCAGAGAAATGGCAGAGGAAACTGCTGTAATGCCACCTTTTACTGGGGCAAAAGAAAAAGTTTACATTTTAACAATACCTGGCCACATTCTAGGAAGAGGTTGCACTTATTTGTTAGCATATCACAGTCACAATCAACCTATTACATGAACCTACTACAAAGTGCTGCCATGACAATAGTGTGCAGGAGGAACATTTAGAAATGGCAAATCCCCACTGCTTGTATGGCCCAAGCTGAGAGCCAGGTAGCAATAGGAAATTTCCACTGCAGTCTTTCCTCTAATTACTTAGGGGTTAATTAACCATCAGAATTTGTGTAGAACCTTGTACTCACCTATTTAGGGAAACAGTTAAATTCTACGATCCTTATTATTTATTCATTTATTTTTTTCAACTTAGAAACATAGAAACAGAGCGAGTCAGAAGGGGCCTCCCGGGCCATCTAGTCTGACCTCCGGCACCAGCCGGCTCCGCTCATGACATGCCCACCATGTGCATGTCCAGCCTATCCTTGAACTCTCGCACCGATGGGGCCTCAATGACCTCTCGAGGAAGCCCATTTCACACCCTTGGGGTCCTAACTGTCAGGAAGTGCTTCCTGGCATTCAAATGGAACCTTGGCTCCCTGAGCTTTGCTGCATTGGAGCGCGTCCTGACTTCCTCTGCAGGGGAGAACAGGTCTGTACCCATCTCCGTGTGACATCCCCTCACATACCTGTATGTCACCAACATATCCCCTCTGAGTCTCCTCTTCTCCAGGCTGAAGAGACCCAGTTCCCTCAGTCTTGCCTCATACCCCATCCCCTGCAAACCGGCCACCAACCTTGTGGCCCTACGCTGCACTGACTCTAACCTGGCTATATCCTTTCTGTAATGAGGGGCCCAAAACTGTGCAAGATACACCAGTTGCGGGTGCATCAAGAGTCGTATAAAGTGGTAGTAATACCTCTCTTGATCTAGAAGCCACACTTCTGGCTATGCAACCAAGGGTGGCATTCGCCCTCTTGACCACCACATCACACTGCTAACCCATGTTTAGCCTGCAGTCAATCAGTACCCCGAGGTTCCTTTCACAAGTGCTGCTCTCCAGCCGCTTGTCACCTAACCTGTACTTATGACAGCTATTCCTATGCCCCACGTGCAAGACCTTGCACTTATCCATATTGAATGCCATCCTGTTGTCTCCTGCCTACTTCCATAGTCTGTCCAGATCCTTTGGGATCTGAAGAACCTGCTCCTCAGTTGTGGCCACTGCTCCAGTTTTAGGGTCGTCTGCAAATTTGATCAGCAGACAGTTCACCCCTTCTTCCATGTCATTAATGAAAAGATTAAATAGGATCGGCCCCAGGACAGAGCCCTGGGGGACCCTGCTTGTCACTGGCTGCCATCCCGATGGTTCCCCACTAATGGTTGCCTTCTGCTTTCGGTCAGTCAACCATGCCCTAATCCACCGGACAGTGCTTTGGTGTATCCCAAAACTCTTCAGTTTCTCCACCAGGATATCATGGGACACTTTGTCAAAGGCCTTGCTGAAATCCAGGTATACCACATCCACTGCATCCCCTCCATCTAGCCATCTCGAAACCTTGTCATAGAATTCCACAAGGTTTGTCTGGCAGGACCTGTTTTTGTGGAAGCCGTGTTGTGTGGCTGTCAGCCTCCCTTCCCTATCTAGCATCACTAGATCTCTCTCTATTATGAGCCTTTCCATTGTTTTTCCTACAATGGACGTAAGGCTAACAGGTCTGTAATTCCCCATGTCCCTTCTACTACCCTTTCTGAAAATTGGGACCACTGATGCCACCCTACAGTCCTCTGGACTTCACCCGTTCTCCACAAGGCCTCAAAAATGGAGGCCAGCGGGCATGAGAGAACCCCTGCCAACTCTCTAAGTACTCTCGGGTGTAACCCGTTAGGGCCTGGCGCCTTTGTAATGTCCAATGCCCTGAGGAGCCCTTGACTTCAAGGGGGGGTGACTCTAATCTGTGCCCCTAAGTCCCCAGCCTCATCTAATCTCCCATGCAGATATCCCCAGTCCTGCTTTGGGAAGAACACAGAGGCAAAATAGTCATTTAGCATCTGTGCCTGCTCCCTCATATCAGTCATTGGATCTCCTTATTTAGTGGTCCCACCACTTGTCTCCCCTTCCTCTTCCTATTTACATGCTGAAAGAAGCCCTTTTTGTTGCTCTTGATATTCTTGGCGAGTTTCAGCTCGTAATCAGCCTTAGCCTTGCAAAGAATCCTTCTGCAATGGGCCTCCTCCTCCCAGTATACCCTTTTGTCTATTTGCCCCAGTATCCATTTCCTATGGAGGTTCCCCTTTTGTCTAATCCCTCTAACCACCTCCTTTCGCATCTATGGCGGCACTTTCCTCCGCCTCCCCACCTTACTGACTAGAGGTATCATCAAGGCTTGCGCCTCCAAAACCTCCCTTTTGAGTGCCATCCACCCCTCCTCAACTAGTTTACCTTCCAGTAACCTATCCCAGGAGACTTTCCCCAGTCTGGCCTTCAGTTGGCCAAAGTTGGCCCTCTTGAAGTCCCAGCTTCTAGTGCTTGACCTGCTGCACGTCCCCAGTCCCCTGATCTCAAAGCAAAGGATGGAGTGATCACTTGCATCCAGAGTTCCCCTAATCTGTACTTCATCTATCAACTTATATTCCACTATACTAGTCAGAGGACTTATTTAATATTCTGCAAATATTAAATAAGGTAGTTGAATTGAAGATTATTCATAATTTGGACAGAGTTGGATTGAGCATTACCACTAAGTTTTCATATAAGTTTAAAATTAGATTTCCTGAAAGATTCTACTACAAATATGGAATGTTTGCAGATCTTCCATGATTCATACGAATGACAAACCATAGTTATAGTAATTTTGCCATTAAGGTCAGGATCTTGCTTTGCACATTTTTTTTCATTAAACAAATAACATAATAGATTCGTCTAAATGTCTTCTTCATGTTTGGGATCACTCCATTATAATCTAACATGAATAATTTACTTAGTTTTATTGTCAACACACAGAATAAGTTTAAACTGATTTTACATAGCATAGGGAGAATAAAGAGAACCTAATACTTACTGTGATTGTGTCACCGGCAAGGAACGTCTAATGATGGAATGAACTTGTCTGTAGACATCCAGTTTGGACATGCATCGGCAGGATGTATGGTTGGCGAAACTGATTGTTACAGGTTTCGGGCCATGAGACAGTGGTACGGTTATTTCAAACAACTGCACAAAAAGGAGGAGGAGAAACTGCTCAGATATATATCAGGACTGTACTAAATGCAAAAGTGATTGTGATGTTTCATTATGCAAAGTATTTTTCGGGATACTTCATAGGCTGATTTTTTTTTAACAGAGAAATCCTGAAAAAAGTCCATATATTCTCACAGCAAACTGTTTAAGCAGCTAATTGAAATGTGGATAGATGGGGTAAGTACCATAGTCAAGGTAACATGATACTTTTTACATGGGGTTTGGTCATAAAAAATAAAATATGTACATTCATATAGCACACCTGACTTTAACTATGACAATCTATGGCCAGTGAATAGTCCCGTTCAGAATTAATGCCAACAATTAATTGAATTGCAGCAATTCATTTATATGAGAGAAAGTAAAGGTGGCACTCCGGGGTTTGAACTGGACCCAGCTAGCTTCTGAATTACTGTTGTCTGTCTGCTCAAGCCTCTGGCCTTTCTACTTATCAAAATGAACAGAACCAGTCTCTGGATTGATAGGGCTGTGTGCAACAGTGCCATAAACAGTGCGCACTTTTTAGAGCTAATTTATATTATGTTCATATAAATAGGAGTAAGTAAAAGGGAAACAGAACTGTTGACTATCCATCATGGTAACAGTGCTGAAAAGGGTCTGGCTCTGTCCTTTTCTCAGTTGTGGATCAGAGGATGGACAATTTACTTAGCCCCATAAAATTAATGGGAGATACCTATCTATATGACCTCACCTTATTGTTGTATTCTGTAAGTACATTTGCCTGACATGGCAGCCCAGCCTGCAAATGTACAATGCAGAGTGAATAGTTCATGGCAAATGTAAACATTTTTCTGGACAGGGAAATATATGCAGATTTCAAGGCAGCATATTTCTCTATTGCCCCCTCCCCTCCCCTCCCCTCCCCTCCAATAAAAGAAAAGTAAAGCCAGGTAGGTTTTAAAATAGAGGAATAGAGGAAGGGGAGAGGAATAGAGATCTCTGCTTTCTGGGGTACCAAGAGGCTTGGAGAGGTGTACAAAAGGTGGAGAGAAATGAGAACTGTCAGGGCAATATCTTAAACCTAGAGGATCACACCACAAAGGGAAAGCCACCTTTTTGGGGAATAAAGCCCTTTGCTTTAACTCAGTGTTGCTTTAACTCAGCAACACTTTAACTCAGTGTTGCCAAGCATGCACAAGGCAATGTGTACACAGCCTTGGAAGATCAATGTCCATGGATGCTGCCTACAGCACTTTGACAGCAGACACAGCATCATCATCATCAAATTGTTATTATTACCATTATTATGTTTCTACCACCTGTAGCTGAAGCTCTCTGGGCAGTCCACAGCATTTAAGTCACCCATCCAGATTTTTGCCAGGATCTTCCAAGAACCAGCTTCTAAGATTAGGCAGGATCAGGCACTTCAGGCTATTTACTAGGACACTGGCCAGATGAGAATCCATATTATGGACTATGAACCTTTGCCCTCCACCCCACAACTGAAATGCATTTCTGCCTCTCCCTGAAAAATTTAAAAAGTGGATGAAGAGCCAGGGATGGTTGCTCCAAAGTGTTGCTTGGTCATCAGTGGCGTGACTGTCCCTGGGCAACATTACCAAGAGTGGCAAAGGTTTCTTTTCCTGCCCTGCCTGATGGCTCACTAGTTACTTATTGCAGCCCATTTCCCTGATTTGTATGACACAGCAATCCATTCTGGGTTTAACATGCTTTATAACAAGCCATAAGTTGTCAGGGTGGCTTGGTTCATATATTGAACCAAACTAATTTCTTCTTCTTCCCTACTTTAGAGTATAAGAGAACCACAAGAGCTGGGCTGGCTTTTCTTCACAGTGATGATTATGATAATATATAATCTAATATTCAATTTAATATTGGAATTTTTAGGACTTGTTCACACAAATATGTACATTACTTGATTTCTCCACACTATCGTACCTTTGATGACTTGCAGCTAAATGAGTGAATTCACTGAAAAGTAGCAATTCTGTCTGTGATATCCTATTTGTGACGGCTCAAGTACACATCCAAGTCATCACTGAATACTGCATAGGTCCAGGGATAAACATGCACCTGTGCCAACCAGCCTGAAATTCTGACAAAAATACTGTCTCTATGCAGTTTTAAATTCCTCACATGATTAGGTGTATATTCACAGAAAGTAACATTACTGGGCTGTGAAGGGTATTGATACCAGTTTATTTATTTATTTGTTTACTTAATTTGTTTGGAAGTTTACTAATCCCAGTAGAGAATACGACAGATAGTGCTGTCTTTGCAAGAGTTTACCAAGCATACTTCCTGCCTCTTAAATAAAGAGCCACAATGTATATTTTCCTTTGTAATAACTAATGATTTCATTGATTTTGCTACAGGTTGAAATATAGACTAAAATATAGATTTGCAACAAAGAAGGAACACATAGCACATTTGAATGCAACTGTGTAATAAAACAAGTATGCCAACCATTTGAGGAATCAGATATACAGCCCTTTGCACATTTATTTGACTACCTGGATCTGCCTAAGGTGACAATATAATCGGCAACGGTAGCAAAAACTCAAAGAACAAATACTAGCATAAAATAAAAATTACAACTGACAAGTGCAGCTGCAATGCAGTCTGCTAAGTCATAATTAGGCAAAAGCCAGCGTAAAGTAGTCTGTTTTCAGGACCTTCATGAAGGCCTGCAGTGATGGGGTCTGAAGACCCTTGGAGGAAAACTTCTTTCACAGGGGCCTCTCTTGCTGATCTTAAAGTACACATAGGCCGATATGTTACTTCTTGTGCTATGCTTCCATCTTTCTCTGTCCCTCAGTTCTGCTTCCTATATGCAAGAGTAAGAAGTACATGAATGGTTTTGAAAGGGCTACTGTAGTGTGGTGGCTGAGATCTCATCTTTGCCATGAATTTAATTGGCAACTTTAGAAAACTACACTTTTCAGCCATTCATGCATCTGCAGCATGGAAATAATGCTAACCTTCGTTATAGGTCTAGTGAAAGAATAAGATAATATATGCAAAGTAGTTCAAAATATATAGTAGCCTGCTTATTGTTATTACTGTTTGTGTGAGGCTTTGCTAGAGGTACTGCATCAGCTTACCTATATCTCATTAATATTGCCTCTGTTAAAAAAAGCAAACGTTTAATTCCATATGGAATTGCTTCATGGCCAAATAACTCAGTGGTCATGCATTTACTAGCATTCATTTCTAACTAATAACACAGAAGCCTAGCATTGTCAACTTATAGTGAACATGGAGTCTTATGCTTGCTTTTGTGGAAAATATATCCGATTACATTCAATGGGATATAATTCTGCCAGAAAGCATGCACAGGAGTGCAGCTTTAGAAGACACTGTACAGTGCAATCCTATGCATAGTGAGAAGTAAGCCTGGCTTGAGCTCAATGGGATTTCCAGCAATGCAGTCTCATTAGTTCTGAGTGTGCTGCTACTACTACTGCTAATAAAGGTGGGATGAATATTGCTGCAAGTGGTGTCAACAAAACATAAGTTAATTGTAATAAAATTCTACTGGAATCACTGCAGTAATTTATTTATTAAATTACTTACTAACTACTCAATCATAATTATCAATGTCTGTAATTCAATCAATCATGTTAATTCATCCTGTAAACACTCTTCTTCACACGGTTTGCATGTAAAATGCTTTGAAACCAATTTGTTGAAATTATTGCTACCTTTTAACATTTGATGATTACTTGATGACTAATATAGAAAGGAATTTTTTAAACAGGCCAACAAGTTGTATTTAAGCAGTGAGATTTTGTAGTGAGACATTGTTTCACCATTACTCTTAATTATATTTTGATTATGACTGCTGCCAAAACAGAACAAAAGCAGGCAGTGTGGAATTCTTTATTTAAAGATGCACATCTCTTCCCATATCCAGAAATAAATTTGCTTTTAGTGCTGTGTATAGTAAGGCTTTGTATAGAGGTTTGTAATCTCATGAATTGTTTGTATACATGGCATTTCCAAATGTTTGCTTTTCATCTGGATAGGCTGATACTACTGAATGTGGCAAGGGGCATTATTTACTCTTGATTAGACAGAAGAAATCATGTTGGCCAGGGAATGCTGGGAGGCATTTTTTTTTTCCCTAAACCTCCATAGGATTATGGAAAAGAAGACATTGAGGTGAATGTGCAAATGACCACTGCTGTATGTTATTACATAGCCTACAAACATAGCACCCTGGACAGACTAATTTTGCCTGATCTCGGAAGCTAAGCAGGATAAGGCCTGGTTAGTACTTGGATGAGAGACTGCCTGGGGATACTGGGTGCTGAAGGCTATCAAAGGTGGAACCCAATCCTCAACATTCTTAAGCTTATCCATGATGCAGATAGTAGTACACATCAGCATATGTTACCTGGTAGGAACTGTTTTCCTGTGTCAAAGAGCGATTGTGTGAAATGTTGAAGATAACTTTCTAGACTGGGGCTCTTGTCAGCTTTTCCTTTTTTTATCCCTTCCATATAATTTCTTCATATTTTGCTGGTTTAAGCCTTTGTAACAAATTTCTGTTTTTCATGATCTCTTCCTAAAATAATACTATAAGCTAGAATAGACCAAATTTTGTTTTAAGTTGCACTGTGCAGAATTAGGCTTTCCAGATCAAAATTAAAAATGATTAATTAAAGTTGCTATCTGAGAGATTCAGCCCCCCTCCCAAAAAGGTGCACACAACCTGATATTTATTCTTCTATGTAATTTACCCAGGTTGACTACCTCTATCTGTGGGAATGCTTGAGGTCAGTGATTCCACTGAGACCAATAGGACCAAAAAAGTTTATCTGGCTGATGAATTCTGAGAGTTGTACTAAATACTGTTGTTCAAATGCATGTGAGAATGTATGTGACTAGCCACTTTCAAGCTGGACTAGTCCTCTTGCTAAAATATAAAAACCCTGGAAGAGACATGGTGAATCAGCTCAATGTTATTTTGCCCAGTATCTTGTATCCCATAGTGGCCTACAAAATAACTATATGCAACCCAAAAGCAGGATCTAAGAACATGACAAAAGCTATGCTGGATCAGACCAGAGGTCCATCCAGTCCAGCACACTGTGCACATGGTGGCAGACCAGCTGCCCACACGATCTTTTAAGCAGGGTGGATGCAAGGGATCTGGGGAAAACTGGCTTGAAGCACTTGGGTCCTCTGATTATTTGAGTTGTCAGTCAATTATTTGATATGTTGAATTAGTCTTAGGTCTCTGTTCATTTGGTTTTGCCCTTGCTCAAAATAATTGCTTTCAAATTTCAGTATTTAGTCCATGGCTATTTGCTGCTTTATATCACACTAGTTCTTCTTGGGAAAGGACACTAAACTTTTTATTTTCCTGCAGTGTTAAACTGCCTTGAAGTTTGCCAGTCATGCTACTATTTAGCAAAATTTGAAATATTTTTCACAATATTTCAGATTGTGCTAAATAGTTTTTACCTGTAAAATAGTATTATTTTCCCTTCTCAACTCATGTCACTTATTTAGCTCCCTGTATATCATTCTGCTAATACAAAGCACATAACAATTCTAGAAGAAATATTATATTTTACAATTGAACAGTGGAACAGCATATTTTGTTTTAACACCGGATATACTTAGGAACAAACTCAGAATGCATCTGTGGTAACAACCTACCGTTTTGCTGATGTAGCTTGTGCTGATATTCATGCACTGCAGCCCTTCACTATTGCAGCAACCTCCACATCTGTAGATGGACACACATGGAGGTTTAAAGAAGATGTTTGTTGTTGCTCCAGATTCCTTCCCCACATCTACACATACCTCACGTGGCATGCATTGAGTTTTTCTCCACTCATTATCAATACCTGCCAAGTTACAGGGAAAGCTCATAGGTTATAAAGAAGTTGGTTTTTTTTAATAGTTCAAAATCAGACTCCCTGAAAATTAGTTGAAGCCCAAGAAGCAAGGGATTAAAAAAGGAGGGAGGTAAAGTCTGAGAAAGCAGCTGGTCAGCAGTAGCCAGATACCTTGGGAGGACTGTCAGAAGATAGTCCACAGGAATTAAAGTCAAGTTGGAATCTGAGAGATGAAAAATCAAGCAAGGAATGTAAATAGGAAAGGTACATACGGTCTGGAACTTCAGAGGTGAAGGACAGAATGTTCATTGGAAACAACCAACCAAATACTTGCTTACCTCTAGCATTTAGAAGTGATTATAAATGGTCCTTAACAAAGTTTCAACAATCATGAAGACAGATTAGATGAAAAAAGCCATGACTTCAGAGAAAACATGTTACTTACCATCCTGGAACTTTATGGAGCTCAAGCCTAAAAGGTTTGAGTGCCCCTACTCTCAAAGGGAGATACCCTCCTCAAGGGTCAGGACATGTACTTACTACTCAGTTGGTTATTGTGAGAATGTCTCTCAACAGTATCTCCCTCAAAAAAGGAGGTACTTGCAGAGGCAAAGGAGGCTAGTTTGTGGGACTTCACAGATGAATGTCTGAAGAACATCACTTAGAGTTAAGCAACCTTTCTTTTTCATAGACTCTGAACAGGCACATGTATCGAAGACTGGCAACTGACATATTTAGAGGAAAATGCTGGTGTTCTTTTGGAGGAAAGCTGCTGAGGACAGCTCTCTCTGTCAGTGCTTACTGTCACTTCCAAAACATAACACTTCATTATAGTAGGCAGGACAGTTAATGGATTCACTTTGATGAGTTCTGGTAAATGAAATACAAAAAGGTGACTATTTCTAGTATAAAGCTCTCTAATAATGCACATGAGAGGTTGATTTGCTACATTGCGAAACAGTTTAATAATGGAAAAAATCCAGTATGGCAGCTGCTAAGAGGAAAGCCCTAAAACCTTTTTCAGATTGATCCCCACAACACAGGAAAAGTTTATGGTGTAAGGAAGGTAGTTCTGTACAGACAGAAAACCAAGGCTCCATGTACAGACAGTACATGTACAGACAGTATACTCAGCATTACCTTTGAGGTTCACAAAGATTGGAAAAATCAATTTCTGATTGATATGAAAGGAACCAGTTCATATATTGATCTGAGCCAATGGATAACATATGGGGAATAGCAATTTCTTGAGCTCATTAACAAACAAATCAGATGGACTAGAATGTATAGTACACAGTTTATTCAGTGTCTTTGCCAATGTAATGGCCATCAAAAATACGTTAATAAACAGAAGACATATCACACATAGGCATGAGATCAAGAATTTCATACAAGCTGAATAAAGACCAAAGACAATTTCAGGAATAGACATTCTGAAGGATGTAAATTGTTAAGACTTTTACCAAAGCAGTTGATGAATGGATGAACAAACAGTGACTGTTCTTCATTAGGAGGAGGAGATGCAAAAACCTTTACCCAATGAACCCAGACAGAAAAACCAGTTAGAACTTGAACTTACAAGTTAAGAATATAACTTATGAAGAATTGCATTTGTAAAGTCATAAGAAGTCAGTTCACTTCACTGTATAGACACCCCTTGTGGAAGGATATAATGGAGCTTTGCAAAGGTTTGTAAGAAAGCTTGATTCTTTAGGCAATTAGGTTCATTGTAGTGGAGGACTTGACTCATTCTGAGCTAAGAGGTCTCAGAATTACTGTGCTAAGTTTGGTGAATCTCTGTTGTCATAGTCACTAAAGTGCAATGAAGATGTATTTGTTCTGTTGTGTAGCACTTTTGCAGTGATGGGAAATAGAAGGAAGATGTACAGAAGGAGAAATAGAGAAATCAGGGACAATATATTACAATAAGAAATTGATTACTGAGATGGAGCTCCTCTGCAGAACTGAGTGCATTCAGAGAAAAGGTCCATCAGAGAATAACCTCAGAGACTAAAGAAGGAGTATCAAGGGATCAGCAACTATCTGTGAATATTGTTTTCCACAAGATTTTGAATGGGAAATTATTCCAATGCAAATGAGGTCAATTTGTGTGGGGTTATTTGCTTAGGTAGATCTTCAGTTTCATTGGAAAAAAATAATGCAAATTAGCTTCATTTGCATAGTTCATTTTCAGTTACCAAAAATGTTCAGGATGCACATCTTCTGGCTCTCGAGATGAGGTTTATTAAGTACCCTGTGAGTTGGGCTATCTCTAAAGGCAAGTGTGAAGGGGATAATCTTCCCTGTCAAGTGGGTGGTGGTGGTGGCTCTTGGACAGAAGCTCCTGGACTTGAGCTACAGGAAGTTCCCCAGTGGTGCTTTGCTGAAGTACCGCACCATGTGCTTGAAGAAAGACTATTCCTCTCCTACCCTACCCCTCAAAGAAAAAGTGCAGGGCCACAATGAAAATAATATGCAGGCAGGCCTACTTCCAAACATTTTTTGTTGGACATTTTCCACAAGTCTAAAGTCCTGTTCCCAAAGTGGAACAGGATGCTACATCCTACAACTAGATTAGGTGGAAAGCTGTCAATAAATTAATCACCCAGGATTGCACCAGGAGCTGGAACTGTCAAATTGCCTAGATCTTGCCCAAATGACTCTTAGGTATCAATGATGGCCAACTGATTTTGACACCAGTTTCTGCTTCTCCCCAGTTCTCTGGTATAAATGATTGGTGAGGCACACTACCAAAATATGCATTAGAAATTAACCTGTTTCCTTTAAATTCTGTCTGCTTTTTCTTGACTTAGACTCCCTTCCTTGTCTCCCCTGCCTTTTGTCCAGTCCTTCAAAAGCCCATGCTTGAACTGAATCAATAGGCATTCAGATACAGTGCCCCAATGCATCCCTATTTATTACAGTAACTGTAAAAGATGGTTGAAAAACTCTAAATGCTTACTGTAGTTCTTGTTATTAATGAGGTTTGGCATTCTGAATATACTAAATCATGCCTTAATATGATATGTCTCAGTTTTGTTTTCAGTGCTTAAATTTTAAAATATATTTGACAGAACTGATATACTCTAACATCTTGGTTTACAGTATTTGGTATACATTAAATTTACAACACTTACTTTTCAAGATCTCTGCATTGTAATGTACTGCAGCAAATTTTATTGGATTTGAATCCTCTGATCTTGCATCGAAGCTGGGTTGTTCCCTATTATGTTGCCAGCTCCCTTTTCTCAACTGACATTTGAACATTTTCCAGTATTCTGGATAAAGTACTGTCATGAGTTCATCGACACTGGAAACAGACCGCAACTGTTCTTCCAATTCTTTACTTGCATGAGTCTGCTAAAGAAATATGCAAAAATAATTACATTACTTTTCACAATATACAAATGCTGATGCATATTAATCACATGATTTGCTGCATTTAAGTAAGAAAATACTATCTCAACATAGAGACCATTTTGGGAAAAAAATAGCCTTCAAGTTAAAGTGATCTATGTGCTTGCATCATCAGCTCTTTATCAATATCTTGATATGAATGAAAGCAAAGGCATATTAACCTTGCCCATTCCATCTCATTACAAACTGCCAGCTTGGCCGTGGACATGGTGACTGGGTTTGCATGATATGATAACCTACTGTGGTTTATAAGCCACAGGGGGTTAACCTGTTGTTCGAAGCCAGCACGTGTTCTATAGCTGAATTAACTCATCATGGCTAGCACAGTCATGTCAAACATTAAGAGAACGTGTCCAGAGTGTCAAAAAAACATTGCTGCTCTGGCCAGGAACTGTGAGCCAAGGTGGTACATTCAGCCAGGCCTCCACCTGGAAAAAGCCAACTGTATATGCCCCGTCCCACAGAATCACCCTCCCTCTGAGCCTGATTCCTGCTCAAGAGTTGGGCTGGAAAGGGTTCAATTCTGTCTGCCAGTGAGCGGCACCTTTCCTGATCTTCATGCTAGGTACAAGGTGGCCCATTCCTTCTCAACCTCTTGTCTCCCCACCCTCACTTCTACCAATGCTGAGCAGTCTCACTCTGTGAGTAGATGCACTGTACCAGCTTTTGGCCATATAACCCTGTTCCCTCAATACGTGGCATTCCTGCAGTATCACCTGGGATTCTGCAGCAGGATGAGGGAGGTGGGGAGAGTACAGCTTCCCACTGTGTGTGATCATCTGTCAGGCACAGGGAAGTTTGCCTGCAATACACGGGTAAAATTCCCAGGAGGATTAGTATGTTGCACAAATGCTCCCAGACCCAGTAATCCCAAAACTAGTTTTAGGTAACCAGGAATAAACTGCAGAGTTTCTTCTAGAATTAGGCTTTAATTCTATGCACAGCTGTTTAGAAACAAACTTCATTGGACTAAGCCTGTATAGGATCAGGCTTTGAGGACTGAATTGCCTTTGAAATGCCTCTGTTTTAAGAGCTCAGGTCTCATTCAAGGGGTTATTCATTTATCTTTGCAACACACCTGTGAAATGGGTTATTTTTCAAGATAGTGACTGGTCTCAGTGAGCTTCAGGGCTAAGCCAGGAATAAACTCAGGTCTCCCTTATCTGTTCCTCACACTCTATAATTGATGGTCTTCCTACAGCATGGGTATCACATGACACAAACAACAGAAGTGTAGCATCCCTGACAGGAACAGAAGGTCACATGGATTTGACACCAGAAGACAGGTAGGCCTACACTCTCAGCTCTTAGCAATGCAGTCAAAATCACTCTAAAACACAGAATACTACATATGTACTGGAGTGCTTATTGAAATGTGCTACTTTGGACGTAACTTGTGGAACACTTGTCAGAAGGTTGGCTATAGGCCACCTCTTTTCTATTATAACATGCCTGCTATAAAATCTGTGACAAATGTGAAATGAGAATCAAGGCATCTTATTAGCACACTTGCTTTCAGAGAGGTGTATTCCAACTCATTCATGGGTTTCAGAAATGGAGACTGTAAACTTGATGGCCATACATTGGAACTGTGAAAGCTAGGAGATCGTCTGTGACTAGTGAAAACAAGAAAAAGAACTAGAACACTTCCTGCATTTTTGACATTCAGCTGTAAGACTGGATGTAATACAACTGTGAGTACTTGAAGGTGGTGTTCCCTGGTCCTCTATGTGTGGTTCTTGTGTTGGATTTGCATGCAACCTGTACATATGATTGATCCTGAACAAGATGCTCTGGAAACACTGGAAAAGTCATATGTTGACTCTCCCAATGGTGGAAGTTATGCCAACAACTTGTGATCTCTACTATTAAGCAACACAAAATTGCTGTGAGTCAAGAAATAAAAGGACAGTTTTTTGAAGTAACAGCAAAGACACAGTTAAAGTAAAATGCATCACTGTAGAAGTCAAATTGCAGTGTGCTAGGTAAAATTGATTCTGAATTCTCAATATACTGAAACGGATGGTATACTCCACTTACAAGCAAAGATTGATCCTATTTTACTATAGTAGCCACTTGAAATAATAAATAGTATTTTAATAACAAGAAGATGTATGGATAGTTATGAAGTCTAGTGAAATTATAATTTTGCCCAGACATTTCAAATAAAACCTGCACATTTCTAGATATAGTCCCTTGATAGTCATGATATACAGAAAAGTCAACCAAAAACTTAAATTTTCAAAATTTTTAAAATTGTTCTGTCTGATCTTCTTACCATTTTGATTGCAAGAACATTCAAATCATTTATTAATTTCAGGTATATCACTATTTTTAGCTGAACAAAATGAAATCCACCATTTTCTAATGGTTTCCTTCCATACCCAGCTTGTTTTTGGAGGGCTTTTGATATAATTATCACAGCTATGAAATAAACATATCCTGCAATTTTCAGCTTTTTATGCTAAATGCCTGGACTAGGTCTTCAATTTTTGCAATTATACAATGTTTAAAACAGTTCACAAGGTACAGTTATTATTACTATTATTACATTACATTGTTTAATATAAGACAAAATCACTATTAAATAGCATCAATATTTGCATGTCATATGTATTTCAGTTCTACCACCTTTTAAATCCCTTTAATATTAAATCATAACATTATACCACATTAGTCAGCTAACAAAATCAATACAAAACCAATTCACTTTTTCTAAACATGAAAACAGTTGCCACAAAAAACTCACATTTTATTAGCCAAGGCTGCAAAACCATGTACCTGGAAATGAGGACAACTGAGCACAATGGCACTTACTTCTGAGTAAACCTGCATGGGATTTCACTGTATCAAACATTTAACTACCTAGCCCATATCTCTAAACTCTAAACTTTCTGCAAAGAATTGCTACAATTTAGGGCATTTCAGGTCACAGCATTACAATTTTGAAACAGTGATGTTTCATTATGTAACTGGCTAACTTTCAGGAAAGGGATTTGCAACTCCTTAACTTCTACCAAATATTGAAGGGCAGCATATGTATTCAGTATAATTAAGTAATTAAAATGCCGTTACCTGTTGCTGCTGACAGTATTCAGGCATGAATCATCTCCACCAAATAAAAACCTTCTTTGTTCATGTAACAATGTCAATTTCATGGGGAAGGGCTTCATCTAGTCTCCTCTCACATATCCTATTTCATTTTTCTATCTACACCAAGCTTTTCATGGAAAATCATTCAAAAAAGCATTCCATTTCCTCCAGGGAATGATGGTGTACATGATGTTGTCTTTTTTAAAGTGCTTTGCTAGAAGCTGTAATATTAGCTAGAGTGAGAAGGTTCACCTAGTGACTAACACAGCAGAGTAGGTATCTGAACAACTCAAATCAATTTGACCCATGTCCTACTTTCATAATAATTACACAGTGTGGAACCATTTTCTGTTTCCTTAATTTGCCTGCCCTGACATGTTTTAAAAAGCTCTGTAAGTTAAATTTAGAAAGGCTTCAAATGTTATTTTCTTGTCATGCAGAACCTCATAATGATCATTAAACATTTAGCAAAAGATAAACGATAAATTAAGATCATGTTTAAAATTAACAAAGTTCAAACATACCCTAAATTAAAAGATTTCATGCAGTGTTGAATAAAGTCACTTTTGAGGTGTTTTATTGTACAGTTCTAATCAAGTCACATTGTATACAGTTGTCTTACTCCCAAGTAAATGTGCACAGAAATACAACTAGAACTATATATTGCATTACAATCTAATTTATTAACTGAAGGCTTCCACATTTTAGTGCCATACTACTATTAATATTCCATGAAATATAAGAATGAGAATGCCCAATTGTTGGCATGTCCTTATGAAACCAAATTATAATGCAAGCAGACACTTATTCCATGCATATATTTCATATATCACAGGGAATGTGAACCTCTGTAATGGCAGAATTAAAATTCAAGACTGCAAATTAGAGAACAGACCTCAAAGTATCAACAACTTTTCAAAGCCATCATAAAAAAGATCCCAGGATTTGTAAAAGCTGTAAGGCAGATCCAAGAAGAAGCAAGGAGCGGGCACAGGCAGTGTAGCTTGGCTTTTTCAAGTTATCTGGATCTTCTTATGCCATATAATTACTTACTTGAGGCGTCTCTCTTCTTGGCACACTATTCTGAATTGCATTGGTCAGTCTGTGGGAAGGGACACTTGTCAAGGTCTGGCACTCTTAGTGGACCAGGATTAGGAGCGGAGAAAGCTGCCTTGTACTGAGTCAGGCTGTCACTGTCAGGAGCTCTCCCAGCTTTCAGGAAGGTTTTCACCCAGAGAGTGGGGATTGTACCAGGGCCCTTCTGCAGGCAAAGCATGTGCTCTGCCCCTGAGCTGCAGTCCCTCCCACATTAAGTGCTTGGTTCAACTAGACTGCCTTTTGGTGCGCTTCTTCCAATTCTGCAATTTCTGGAAAGGACAAAAGTGAGGCAGAACTGGCCAACACGCTCTCTCATTGCCACTTTACATCAATTACATAATTAGTTTGGAAGTCAGCCACTACAGCGTGCTACGTTTCAACCACATAAACATGTCTGGTGAAGTCAGTGGATTTCAGCATTCCTATGTAATCATTTGTGCTCTAACCTTTTATAGGAAAAAAAGAAAAGAAATGCAACAGAACAATCACCTCAGTTTTCCTCATGTTACATGAACTCTTGAACTTGTAAAGATTCTGTTTTATAGGAACAGGGAGGTCTATGTACTACTATTTAGTCATAAGATATTAGTCTTCCTACCAGTGCCTGAGACTCATGAAATTGTAACATATGCATCTATTTCCAAAAGAAGATGCAAAGGCTGGCCCAGAGGCTGCATAGATTATTGTTTCCATATGTCATTTTCATACATCTTAAGATGACTAATGTGGACACCTGCATCTTCTAAAACTAA